ATTATACTCTCTCCATATTATTGCCATTATCATTATTTTCACTATCATCATCAACATCTGTTTTTAAAAGTATATAATCACTCCACTATTTTGTTATAGGGACATTTTTCATTATCATTGCTGTCAGTATCATGACCGTTACCATTGTTTTCCTTAAATTTACTTTCATGGTCATCATCACTATCGGGCACGTTATTTAAAATTGGTTTATATTACACATAATTATCAGTATCACTCACTATACTTTCAACTATTTCATCATTTAAAACTTTAACTATCATGCACTTTTGTAAATATATAACAATAATTTAGCATGACTATACTTTCAATTATTCCATCATTTAAAACTTTAATTATCAAGTACTTTTGTAAATATATAACAATAACTAACATGATTATTATTACAACTTTCACCATAACTAACGTAAACATGATCCTGTTTAAAAAAAAAAAAAAGTTGTTTATTAGGATTCTTGTCACTGGTGATGTCATTGTCACCTTTACCGTTTTCATCATGCAGGTTTCGTGGAAAGCCTTATGCTGGTTAACCACTGAGAATTTTTTTTCGGGAAATGCCTTTGAGCAAACCTACGCCAGATTACTTAGAAGAGAGATGAGGAGCGGAGAGATGAGGAGCGGAGAGGGGAGAAGAGAAGATAGCAGAGAGGAAAGGAGAGGAGAGAGCAGAGAGGATAGGAGAGAGCAGGGAGGAGAGGAAAGGAGAGAACTGAAAAGGGGTGGAGAGAGGATAGAGAGGAGAGGGGAGAGGAGAGAAGAGGAGAGGAGAAGGGTTAGGAGAGAAGAGAAGAGAAGTGGGGTTAGGAGAGAAGAGAAGAGAAGTGGGGTTAGGAGAGAAGACAGGACAAGACAAGACAAGACAAGAAAAAAGAGGAGAGGAGAGAAAAGAAGAGAGACAGAGATGGTAAAGAACTGGACTGTAAAAGGGCTTTGGAAACTCAGTATGAAGGGTTACTGGGAGCTTGTTATAGTCATGTAAGTTAAGTTCCCCTTTCCACCCGGATAGAAAAAAATCCCTCTTCTATAATGCAAAATGATGAAGTTGTGGCTTAAATATGAAAACCATCTTTGGAGTTTCATTGAATCTTTTGCACCTCAGTACCTATCTACTGGCCCATTGACTATTCTTTTATGATGATAGATTCAAGTTTTTTTTCATTTAGTAGTCATAAGGGTCACTCTTTCATACTACTGAAAGTGAAATATATATTAGACAACTTTTTTTTCTTGGAGTTTAAGCATTATTTTTTTCGAAGATTTGCTGTTCTTTATTTCCTATATTACAGTTGCAAGGACATGAAAGCTATTTCTATAATTCCTTGCAAAATTGTGAACACTCATGCACTCGAATGCAGTTTTAGCATACAGCTTAAAATCCATAATACATCTCTTGCTTGTGTGTGTTGGTAAACTAATATTGTTTTCCCATTATTTTCATTCACTTGGACACCTGAGTTTGAGGTCCCACTATATAATGTTGGTGATTTGTTTTCATAATTTACATTGATGCAGGTCTTTTCAACGAACAAATTATAGGAAAAATAAGGTAATGTTACTAATCAAACTATGCTGACTTCCACATCAACTACTTTGATGAATACTTAATAGGTTAAGGAGATTCACATGTCAACTGATTTGTTTTTAATTGTAACTGACAATCCTACTAAATATCCTGATATGTCATCTGAGGTGTGCAGTATCCTATAATCTTGAGTATATCATGCTTGTCATTCTACTTAGCAATCCTTCTCTACTACATCCATCATGTATAAATGAAACAAGGCACATTTATTAGTGATTTTACTGTGGTACCTTTTCATAGTACAAGCATATAAAGCTGAGGCAGCAAATTTAGTGCAATAATTTACGAATCTTGCATATTCTGGGCATTGCCTTCTTTCCTCCACATGTTCCCACTGACCTGAAAGTTTTCAGATGCAGATCCAAATTCATGAATTGAGGTTTCTAGCAGCTATAGAAATAAGCTAAAATAGAGATTATTCCAGAGTCAATGATTATGTGGTGGCACCAACTTTCCTTGGTTTCAGGCAGCTTGAAGCTCTGTGCATCTCCACACGATGTCACCTATTTACTCAGTCAACCTTGCAAGCCCCTATTGAAATATCAATGATCTATGGCTTTCAATTTGGCATACCAAGATATTCATGGTAACAATTACAAAGTATACAAGAGAATGTATGCCATTTAATAAGCATCTGGAAGTCATGTTTGGTAGGTAAAGACAAAGATACTCTAACAATATTCTTCGATAAAAGAATACGGCAGAGTAGGAGGAAACCTTCCCACTAAACTGGTATTGTTTACCCTACATTAATACCTCTGTATAAGCAGAGTTGTAATGATGTAATCATACTGGGCCACCCTGGCACTATGCATGTATACAGTTGGGTACAATACACACTAAGGGGTTAAGTTTGATATGTGAGGTAAAAAAAGAACTTTTTTGTTTTGGCAGCAAGGTAGAGTGTTCATAGATGAGCTGAGAGTTGTGATGTGCCAACCTGATCTATAACCTTGGAGTGCTTTAACTCTTGTCAAGGATAAATAGTATATCAATAGTAGGATCAACTAAATGTAGCTGCTCTCGTACTACACAAGTAAAATAAGAATAAATAAATTAGCCAAATTAAATAATAAAACATTCTCCACCAGGAATGGACTTAAATCAGATAATGAAAAAAACTTCCACTGACTAACTTTACATCTAATACAAAAAAGTGATAAGGGCACTGTAGAACCTCTCGTATTCCATATTCAAGCTGAGAGATCACTCAACCTAACCGAAGAAGTGAAGGCTGGACTACAGGTGAGGGACGTAACAAATGGTGACTTGAGACTATTGTATTTCAAATAAGCAACTATATAGTCATAAACTTTATTCAGAGAATTCATATAAGCTTTTATCATCAATCAACCATCTAGATAAAACATCCTCTCTGAATAAGACATAGCCTATATGAGGTTTATGTACTTGATGGTATTGCCCATCTAATCTTGTGGGATTGAAAACAATATCATTTCCCAAATGCATTAGGCAACAGCGTCATATCAAAAGTAAATGCCTCAAATAATCACTAATTTCTAGTCTATCAGCGCAAATAAAAACTAAAACTAAAAAAAGTTTCACCTGCTACATTCATCTTATCTGTCTATCTCAAGATCCAAAATATCAGAATCCCACAAAATTAAAACCTATGTTGTTTTTTGAAAAGAAAAGAAATGAAGTAAAGAAACATACTGAACGATTACTAAAGCAGCAAATAAAATTTTTCAGTGGAATCTATTCAGCTATTATGAGAACTCAGCAGCAAAATCACATTAAAATTTCTTATAAATCAATGATAAAAAATAAAAGGTCCCATTAAACCAATGATGAAACAAATCAAGTAATTCCTAAGTGCCAATGCTAAGAAACTTTTTCACTGACGAGCTGCCAAAGCTTCATAAATACTGATATCAATACAGTTTGCTCTTTTGTTGTATTCCTCTCCCAAAACATTTAAATAAATGATTTGAAACGAGACTTTACAGTATAGTACAAACATATGTTCAGGATTTTATTACAGTATATCTCAATAATATAAAATGAGGAGACATTGCACAATTGTAGTTTAAAGCAAATTTGAAGTATGACAGCCATGCCCAACCCTCTTAAAGCTTTTTTTTTTCTCTGATGTTCCATTAACATACACAAATATATATCCAGCAACACTGCTGTTATTACAAATACCTATTATCATAATACCTGGACAACTCTTTTATAATCCATGAAGGTATTTTTCTTCCCTGTTTTGCTACAGCAAGCTTCAACACCTGAACCTTTCTTTTTGTTAACTGTTTTTCTTTTTTTTTTCCTTTTTATTTTATTTTTTTTACTCCAGAGGAAGCCTGCACAACACTCTTCTTCAACAACCAATCAGCGGTGTCCCTCACTTTGTGCTCTACTACTTTGCCTAGAAGCTTTTTCGTTTGGACTCTTAGAATACAGTCAGATAGGCAGAAATTGAGGGATTTTGGGAGATGGTAATGATTCACCAATCCTAAGCCTTGCTTTGTACTTCTGATAAAGAAATTTCGAATTTTTCAAAACAATCATGAAGTAATGAAACACAATAAGAACGCCAATCAACTTATTACATACAAGGCAAAGACAAAACGAACAGCATATCAAACTGCACTCGGATGTGGAGTACACTTCTTTGTATTGCTTCCTCTTCCAAGAGAGTTACAAAAGCTTAATGCCATGGAAAAATACATCTGCAAAAAGACATTCAACACAATTAATGATCCAAGGCTCTAAACATGAACTCATTAACTTCTCCCTAAGCAGTTTTCCTAGCTAGATCAATGGAGGGTGCACTAGAATGAGTGGTTTTAGATTGAGTTGGTAAAAGAATAGATCAAGAGAGGACCCAGCAGTAGCTTAACGTAACTTGGGGATCATTTCCATTGAAGGAACTTGAAGACTGGCTCGAATTTAATTGGAGTTATCTGAAAAGAAAATATTTAGCAGTCAGAAGAATGAAAACATCATTCCATATTTTTTATTTCATATGCCAGATATGCTAGAAACTACAATATAGAACAAATGTAATATAATCAAGCCTGAGATATTCTAGATCCAATGGTACCAAGCAACTGCACAATTTACACATTCCTGTGGACAACTCTGAAACTTACAACAAAATACATATAATACAAGAACTTAAACGACATAACCATAACTCAATAAAAATCAAATAATACTTGACCCCTAAAAAGCAGTGAACTTGACACACTAGCTCAGCAAAAAAATAAAAAAAGGAAAATGCCTACTTCGATACACTTCTTACCTACCCATGTGTGCACTACTGGTCATGGCCCTCTTCTGGACAGCTGGGGGCTGGTAGGGCTGCATGCCACCACGAATCACAGGAGTGCTAGCATGGTTCACTTGAGGGGCGTGGCCAGCCCGAATAGGT